TCCCTCATTTCTCTAAATGAAGCCAAATCTGGGTGTTTCCCATCACTGCCATCTTGGCCGTGTCATGTCTCCTCACACCATGACAGTCCAAAATTATGAGAAGAGGTTGAGCTGAGAGTGGGGCTGAGGGTGTGAGCAAATGAACCCACATAGCTACTAGCTAACCGAGCTAACCCCCGAAACTAAGATCATCGACATATATACTGGACAAATCTGTTGTTGTTTTGTGGCTTTCGTTATGTAGTGGCCTTTTTTGTAGTTGTGGCTTTTTGTTGTTGTGTTGTGGCTATTTGTTGTTGTGTTGTTAAAGTTAAAGTCCCATCAGTTGTCACACACACCAATGTGTGTGCGAAATTTGTTCTCTGCATTGGACCCATCCCCTGGGGGAGCGGTGAGCTGCAGACACAGCCGCACTCGGGAATCATTTGGTGGTTTAACCCCCCAATCCAACCCTTTAAGGCTGAGTGTCAAGTAGGGAGGCATTGGGTCCCATTTTTTCAAAGTCTTTGGTATGACCCGACCAGGAATCGAACCCTGATCTCCCAGTCTCATGGCGGACGCTCTACCACTAGGCAACTGAGCTGTTGTTGTGGCTATTTGTTGATGTGTTGTGGCTATTTGTAGTTGTGTTGTGGCTATTTGTAGTTGTGTTGTGGCTTTTTGTTGGTGTGTTGTGGCTTTTTGTTGTTGTGTTGTGGCTTTTTGTTGTTGTGTTGTGGGATTTTGTTGTTGTGTTGTGGCAATTTGTTGTTGTGTTGTGGCAATTTGTTGTTGTGTTGTGGCTATTTGTAGTTGTGTTGTGGCTATTTGTAGTTGTGTTGTGGATTTTTGTTGTTGTGTTGTGGCTTTTTGTTGTTGTGTTGTGGCTATTTGTAGTTGTGTTGTGGCAATTTGTTGTTGTGTTGTGGGTTTTTGTTGTGTTGTGGCTATTTGTTGTTGTGTTGTGGATTTTAGTTGTTGTGTTGTGGACTTTGTGTTGTGTTGTGGCTTTTAATAGTGTTGTGGCTTATAGTTGTGTTGTGGCAATCTGTTTTGTTGTGGATTTTTGTTGTAGTGATGTGGATTTGTTGTTGTGTTGTGGATTTTTGTTGTTGTGTTATGGCCTTTGCTGTTTTGTGGATTTTTGTTGTTGTGGCTATTTGATGTTGTTGTGTTGTGGCTATTTGTTTTTGAGTTGTAAATATTTGTTGTTGTGTTATGGTTTTTGTTGTTGTGGCTTTTGGTTGTTGTGTTGTGGCTTTTTGTTGTGTTGTGGCTATTTGTTGTTGTTTTGTGGATTTTTGTTGTTGTGGCTATTTGTTTTTAGTTGTAGATATTTGTTGTTGTGTTGTGGTTTTCGTTGTTGTGGTCTTTTTTGTTGTTATGCCTTTTTGTTGTTGTGTTGTGGCTATTTGTTGTTGTGTTGTGGTTTTTTGTTGTTGTGTTGTGGATTTGTGTTGTTATTTTGTTGTTGTTGTGCCTTTTTGTTGTTGTGTTGTGGCTTTTTGTTGTTGTGTTGCGATTTTTGTTGTTTTTTGTGGATTTTTTTGGGGCTTTTTGTTGTTGTATTGTGGCAATTCTTTTTTGTGTTTTGGCATTTTTGTGTTGTTGTGGCTTTTGTATATTGGCTTTTGGTTGTTGTGTTGTGGCTTTTATTGTGTTGTGTTGTAACTTTTGCTATTGTGTTGTGGCATTTTGTTGAACCAGGCTGTAAACATGTTAATTCCAGTTGTGAAATTGACATTTAAATATGGGAGTCAATGGAAACGCTCATTTCTGATGCCAGCCCCTAGCGTATGATGGTGCAGCTTCAGTGTTGGGAGCGTAGTTGGAACCATGGAATGCTCCCTTGGTCTACACAGAACATCCTTTTGAACGAGTTTAATTTATTTCTGTTTCAGACATCTCCAGGAACATGCATCATCCTGAATTCTCACGTTTAAGCTACTAGCCTCACACACAAGGGCATACACATGCAGGGACACTCAGCGTCTCACAGCCATTGGACCACCAGCTGGTTGACAGCTGCCTCAGCTAAATTGAAGAAAAGACATTGTGACAGCTTCATATTTTTGGTGTCTAGTCTGAAACGCCAAAATTGTGCTTCTGACTAACTCTGTGGAACCTTCACTGAGTGTGTTTGATCCTGTGATTCACTCTGAAAAGTTATTTTTCCTGTTTCACGCTCTGCTTGTACCGTTTTTATCTCTAATTATCTTCATTATTCATTTTATTAACTCAAAAAGATTCTTTTTCATCTGCTTTTCCTTTGATCATTTACTGATGAATAGAAACTATTTTTTATCTGCTGCTTCAATTATTTAAATTCACACTTTGGTCTCATTTGAAACAAAATTCATAAAGACTGAATTTGGACCCAAATTACTTTAAAAAGGACGTTTGTTTAACCTTCTAGACAATGTTAGAAAGAGAGGTCAAAAAACATCCAGTAGTGTAGTTCAGGTATGTGACAACATCTCTACAGGATGTGTGTGTGTGTGTGTGTGTGTGTGTGTGTGTGTGTGTGTGTGTGTATATATATATATATATATATATATATATATATATATATATATATTAGGGGTTGTATCAACTAGTGACTTTTTGTGCCTTTCATCGACTAGTCGCTGTCACGTGATAATGATGCAGTCCTCGCAAAAGACAGCAGGTGACGAGCCCCTGCGAATTGGGAGGCGACGCGCTGTGCCAGAGCGTCGGTATGCGACGCCCGCCGTAAAACGGACATTTGACCGAATTGTGACCTTTACCCTCTTGCAATTTAACATTCCCCTCACCCCCATCCTAACCTTAACCAGCTTGCGCATGCAAAGCTCTGATCGTTGACTCGCTCTAGACATCCGCGTCCTGAGCATGGCCACAGTAACGTTATCAAATCAGGTGTCACCACCTCAAAAACAAAGTTAGCACGCGATTGTTCATGCCGGCTCATTTCCTTTTATATATATATATATATATATATATATATATATATATATATATATATATATATATATATGTATATATATATACATATATATATATATATATATATATATATATATATATATATATATATATATATATATATATATATATATATATTTTGTTTGTTTTTATTTTTATTTTTTTTTACCGTGTTCTGTCTGGCTGTGAAGCAAGCAGAGTTGATGTTTGAATGCTGGTAACAAGCCTTACAGATTTATTCTCAGGTGGACCATCAAAGCGTCTGCTTTAAATGTCACGCCTGATACTTCAAATTTTATTGTTATTGTTTTTGAATGCTTTGTAATTCTGACCAGACACGGAGACAGAGGTGAAAGAGAAAGGAAAAGACAAATGTAAGGTTTCTCTATAGGAGCGTCCAATAGAGAGTGTGAGGGACCACAGATCTGGCCCCAAAGATGTGTAGGAGATGGGGGGAGCTCCAAGTCCCAGAGATCCAGGCACTGCCCCAGAACACAGGAACCCCAAGGGGACTGCAACCAGAAAGGCCCCCGCCCCCCTCGAGAGGCACAGAGGATCGCCCCGGGGGGCCACAACCAGCAGCCGGCAGAGTCACGGGAGACATCAGCGGCAAGCCCACAGGCCCGCCCGCAGCCTCCCACCCCCTAGCCGGCCGAGCCCGGGACCCAGCGACCCAGGACCCGGGGCGACCACCCCTGCCGGGGACCCAGCAGAGCCCAGGGACCGAGACCTCACCAGGCAGCGACCGGGATTGATCAAGCAGACGCCAAATCTTAAACTCCCTGACCCGGGATACGAAGATCTATATCATCAAAGGAGGTCCCAGGAGAGGGGAGGAGTCAAAGGCCCCACCTGACATATACAGTCATACACAAACACAGTCACACACTCCCTCCCTCATGCTCACACATACACATACAACCAAAGACTTACAAAAATGCACGCCGGACACCCACTGATCATCAGTGGCCGTAACCCTAACCCTAACCTTAACCAGCTTGCGCATGCAAAGCTCTGATCGTTGACTCGCTCCAGACATCAGCGTCCTGACCACGGCCACAGTAACATTATCAAATTAGGTGTCACCACCTCAAAAACAAAGTTAACACGCGATCGTTCATGCCGGCTCATTTCCTTTTATGTTTTCTGTCTCTTATTTGTGCCCGATGCGTTTCGCTGCTGTGGAGCTGAGCACATCACCTGTTTTGTCCTCCGGTGATGCACCTCACTGGTGTTTTTGCGGTCGGTAGATCTTTTAGAACTGCAGTTCAAAGGTAACTCATAAGGTGAATATATATGAACCCAGGTAGCAGTTGTTCTTTAGGGTTATAAGGAGATGCAGGAAGATAATAAACAGAGACAGGACAGAAAAATAGTCAAATAAAAACAAGTTTGTTTTTGTACCTGGTGGTTGCAACAAACAGACACCATTGAAAGTAATCAGAAGTGAGGAACAGAAAATCAAATAATTATTTTAATGTTTAGAGCAGCAGGAACTCTGAGAGGCTGCAGGCGCATCAGTGAGTTTGCAGCCGCTGCACAGGGGGAGGGGGGAGAGGGCTGAAGCAGGATGCAGAAACTACCGTCGTTAAAAGAGATGTGTGTTAGCTTTGAAAAAGTGGGCGCAATTTTAACAGCAGGGCGGAGCTCAATTGTCAAAAACTCCAGCGAGCCCCCCCCCCCCCCCCCCCCCCCCCGTGTATGACGTCATCAATGAATGGTCAAAGTCGACTCGATTTTCATTACTCGACAGTCGACTTAAAAAAAATTAAGCCATGCAACCCCTAATATTTACGTATATTAGGGGTTGCATGACAAATATATACACATATATATATATATATATATATATATATATATATATATATATATATATATATGTGTGTGTGTGTGTGTGTGTGTGTGTGTGTGTGTGTGTGTGTGTGTGCGTGTGTGTGTGTACATATTTTGACATTTCCTGAGGAGGTTTGGAGTGTGACAACATCTCTATGTTTAACAGAATGTAAACACTGAGTAACAGATGAACTAAAATTGCTTGTTTTGTTTGGTTTTATCAGCCTGCACTTCCTGGTTTTCCACACTGAGGAAGTCCACGACGTGCTTCGGATCTGGGATGGTCCCCAGGATGGGGGGGTGTTGCTGAGGGACCTGAGCGGTTCGGCGCTGCCCGTAGATGCTCACAGCACCTTCAACACCGTCACTCTGCAGTTCACCACAGACTTCTTCACCAGCAAGCAGGGCTTTGCTCTGCAGTTTTCTGGTGAGAACGATTAAAACAGGAACTGGACGGCTCTCAATAAATTCACCACTCACTGTTTAGATACCAACAACGGCTACTTTAGATGTCACAGCTGCTGAGAGTTTTCATGTTGTTCCACTGATGAACTCCACATTTACTTCTTTAGTTTCTACCGCGACCTCCTGCAATGACCCAGGCATGCCGACTAATGGCACCCGCAGCGGCGACAGCAGGGAGCCTGGGGACCATGTGGTGTTCCAGTGTGATCCTGGGTACATCCTGCAGGGGGCCAACAAGATCACATGCACGGAGATCAACGGTCGCTACTTCTGGCAGCCAGACCCCCCCACATGCACAGGTGCTGCCAAAACCCAGCATGCACGCACTAATTATGCTTCAGTTCTACATGGATATGTGTCCTTAACCAGTTTAGAGAAACAGCCCCTAATGCAGCTCAGGATGTGTGATCTAAAACAATCGTGTTTTAGTCTACAAGGACACATTCAAAGGTAGAAGTATATTAGGGTTAGGTAAGTCACACGTCGCTAAACTTCAGAAGGTCGCTGCTGTCGTGTCAGGCTGAATTCTGAAAGCTCCCCACACGGCTCAGCATCATCTGTGTGTGAGGAGAGGGGAGAAGTGGAGGGAGGAGAGGGTCGAAGACAGGAGGGGAGGATAGAGGAGGGGAGGACGGCGGGGGGGGGGGGGGCAGGGAGAAGAGAAAGGAGGGGAGGGGAGTGGAGGAGAGAGGAGGGGAGGGGAGGAGAGAGGGGGATGGGGAAAAGGAGGACGGGGAGGGGAGTGGAGGAGAGAGGAGGGAGAGGAAAGATAGTGGAGATAGAGGACGGGAGGAGAGGGAAGAGGATGAGAGGGGTAAGAAGGGGAGGAGAGGAGAGGAGGTAGGAGATTGGGGGGGAGAGGAGAGGGGAAAGAGTGGAGTGGAGTGGAGGGGAGGAAGAGAGGGGAGAGAGGGAGAAGAAAGGGGAGCAGAGAAGGGAGAGAGGAGAGGAGAGGAGAGGGGGAAGAAAGATAGTGGAGGGGAGGAGAGGGAAGAGGACGAGAGGGGGAAGAAGGGGAGGAGAGGAGAGAAGGGGAGGGAGGAGATGGCGAGGGAAGGGGAGGAGATGAGAGGGAAAAGAGTGGGGTGGAGGGGAGGGGAGGAAGAGAGGAGAGAGGGAGAAGGAAGTGGAGCAGAGAAGGGAGAGAGGAGAGGAGAGGGAGAAGGAAGGGGAGCAGGGAGGGGAGGAGAGGGAGAAGGAAGGGGAGCAGAGAAGGGAGAGAGGAGAGGAGAGGAGAGGAGAGAGAGAGGGAGAAGGAAGGGGAGCAGAGAAGGGAGAGAGGAGAGGAGAGGAGAGGGAGAAGGAAGGGGAGCAGGAAAGGGAAAGAGGAGAGGAGAGGAGAGAGAGAGAGAGGGAGAAGGAGGGGGAGAAGAGAAGGGAGAGAGGAGAGGAGAGGAGAGGAGAGGGAGAAGGAAAGGGAGCAGAAAAGGGAAAGAGGAGAGGAGAGAGAGAGAGGGAGAAGGAAGGGGAGCAGAGAAGGGAGAGAGGAGAGAGAGAGAGGGAGAAGGAAGGGGAGCAGAGAAGGGAGAGAGGAGAGGAGAGGGAGAAGGAAGGGGAGCAGAGAGGAGAGGAGAGGGAGAAGGAAGGGGAGCAGAGAAGGGAGAGAGGAGAGGAGAGAGAGAGAGGGAGAAGGAAGGGGAGCAGAAAAGGGAAAGAGGAGAGGAGAGGAGAGGGAGAAGGAAGGGGAGCAGAAAAGGGAGAGAGGAAAGGAGAGGAGAGGAGAGAGAGAAGGAAGGGGAGCAGAGAAGGGAGAGAGGAGAGGAGAGGGAGAAGGAAGGGGAGCAGAGAAGGGAGAGAGGAGAGGAGAGAGAGAGGGAGAAGGAAGGGGAGCAGAAAAGGGAAAGAGGAGAGGAGAGGAGAGGAGAGGAGAGGAGAGGAGAGGAGAGGAGAGGGGTCAAGCATTTAACTCCACCTCCTAAAATGATCAGAAGCCGTTTCTGACTGGAGGACTTGGGTGCTCTCCTCCATTGGTGTTTGTACCAAAGCAGCTCACTTGTCCAGATGTTTAGTGGATATCCAGCGGTGGTGCTTGAGGCTTCACAGTGAACTCTCTCGTCTCTCTCCGTAGCTCCGTGCGGTGGGAACCTGACCGGAACAAGGGGGCTGATCCTGTCTCCAGATTATCCCGAGCCCTACCCACACGGGCGCGAGTGTGACTGGAGGGTGACCGTCACGCTGGACTATGTCATCTCACTCAGCTTTAATCAGTGAGCTGTTGGGTATCAGAATAAGTGCTACATGACCTGTTGGATGACTGCTGATTGTGAACGTGTGTGAGCAGGTTCAGCTTGGAGCCCAGTTATGACTTCCTGCACATCTACGATGGGCCGGACTCCCTCAGCCCCCTGCTGGGTAGTTTCTATGGCACAGATGTTCCAGATCGCATCGAGAGCAGCTCCAACACACTCTTCTTGGCTTTCCGCAGCGATGCATCCCTCAGCAGTAATGGATTTGTGCTGCAGTACACAGGTACACTCTTTTGTTACAAAGGTTAATTGGACAGAACTCTGAATCTGACGGGCTTGTCGTCCCTGGCGTCCTGTGATTTTAATAGGATGTGTGTCTTTAATCCTTAAACAGTTCATGTTTTATGTTCCTCTTCTGGCAGATTAAGGATGGATTAACCCTCTTTTTCTTCGAGGTCTTGCTCTATTTTGTGTATGTACTTATTTTCTGGTCCAGCGTGTTTGAGAGGAGCAGCATGAGAAGCTGTTCTGCTGCAGCATCCTGATGACTTCTGCTGTTGTTGATGCGAACCTCCTCTAGCAGTCTACCAACACAAGGAATTATGAAAATGAAAAGCTGACAGCATGCACAGTTAAGCTCTTTTTGATCAGTGCAGCTGAACAAAGGCCTCAGATACATTAAAGCAAACAGCATCCTGGTGTCTCGTCACAGCTTGGTCAACCACAGCACATCACACCTTATGCTCCCGACAGAAAGCACAGTGATGGAGGGCCAGTTGGTTTAGCTTAGCACAACAGATCAATGTTCTCCATGTCTGACTGTGACCCTCATGGTGGACCACCATGTCTGTAGAATTTCTCAGACCCTCAACAGCCTCTGAGGTAAATTGTCTTGCTTGGTTCTTTAAAAACACAGAAAAGTGGCGTTTCGGCTAATTACCATAGCCATCTTCAGAGCTGTCTGAGTGGGACAGGCATCTTTTTAGGACCTTCTTGCTTAAGGGAACGGTGGTAAACCTTCCTGTTTAAGGCTTCAGACATGTAGCCAGTTCCAGATCGACCCTCAGCTCTCTGTTTCTTGGCTGGTGTTCAGATGGGATTTGATCCATACAAGCAATTGAATACATTTTAGAATGCTATCTGTTACCACGACCAAGTGCAGCGATTCACTTTCTAAGTGCACATAAATGGTGGAAAATGGCCGCTCAGTAAGACAATGTTACAGAGTTTGCCCCTTAACTGACTCCCAGCCGTGTGTGATGCTGTGTGGGGCCCTGCACGGCCAATCTGTAGCAGCAGATGGACCCAGTGTGTTGCTCAGGAGCACTCTTTCAGCCCTGCTTCCAATTCTCCACACTAATGAACCATAACCAAATAATACGTACATTTCCTCCTCAGTTTCAGACAAACCACTCGGCTTTGGCTGCCGCTCAGAGTCGTTGGGTGTGCAAGTTGACGAGTTGGCCCAGCTAGCATCTAGTCATTGTGCAACCAAACATTTCATTATGGATAAAAGCTTATGTGCTGTCGGTCTCTTCATAAAGAAGACACACACACACACACACACACACACACACACACACACACACACACACACACACACACACACACACACACACACACACACACACACACACACACACACACACACACACACCTGAACAGGGTTCACATTTCCCTACAGAGGCTCATTAGAGATTAAATGGGAGCACAACACAGAAAACTGAGGAAGGAATTATGTGAAACCTGCATTTAAAGTCAGCTTATCCAACGCCGAACACCTAAAAAGCTGAAAACCTGCACATGAATGTGGCGCTGGGGGATTTCCTGACAGGCGTTTGCTACCATGACCTCCAGATGAGCTTTCTGTCTCAACCTTACATCGCTGAGCTGCACAAACTTGATGTCCAGCCTCGAGCCGCGGATGCCACGGTTGAACGCAGGAAGACAGCCGTCTTACATGTCCTAAAACATCATGAGGGTTATCGGATCAAGAGGTCACGTAGTGCACCGTAAACAAATTTACCAAACTTTAAGAGACTGTCCTTGAGGACACAAGCTGTTGTCTGCTGCCCAGTAGTGCGAGGACACCATCTGAGAGCTAAGAGGATAAAAACATCTTCACAGGTGGAGTCTCCTCCCATTCCACAAACTTCTGTTTTGGTTTTGCAAGGCAGTTATATTATCTTCTTCTTTCCCTGGGTGTGGCCCTTCAGGAGTCTCCACAGCCAATCATCTGTCTCCATTGTGTTCTGTCTTCTGCCTCCTCCTCCCCTACACCATCTACCTTCATGGTGCCCCCACCACACCCATAAATGTCCTTTTTGGTCTTCCTGGGAATTTTATTCTCTTAGAAGGAAAAATGAAGCTTGATGATCTTACTGGTCTGACGAGATCCCACAGGATACGTGTTTGTGTCTGTGTAGATGTTACGTCTGCTGTCGTACTGTGCTGTGTTTCTTCTGTTCTGTGCGTTGCTGCACAGGTTCTGTTCTCGGCTGGTCAGCTGATTGCTTATCTGTCAGTGAAAGCTCTGGTGGATCCGTAACAGAAACCGGAGGATCCTCGTTGCCCACGCGCCCCCATCCTCCAGTCCCCGTTATGAATCCACTGGAGCTTTAGCTGACCGACTAGCAATCAGCCAACCTCGAGAATGGTGCCAGTGCAGCAAAGCACAGAACATAAGAAACAAGCCGCACTATGACATCACACATAACAGTCTGGAGGTCTGTTTCATTCATGAACACCTGGCTCATGAAGGCCATCCTCCAGGAGAATACCACTCTGTTGAAAACATTAGAAGAAGATGTCAGTTCTGGGCTGTGGACATCATCATCTCAGAATCATCTCCATCAGCCCACTGGAAACACCATCCAGCCTCCTGACAAGGATCAGCAGAAACAATAAATGACCCCAGAGTCAGCTGACCAACAGCTGTTTGAGTCTAAGAAACTCTCTTCGTGTTTATTTGAGTCTTGCCATTTTGAAGCTCTAGACTTTGTCTTCATCCATCGGCTCAAAATGTGGATTCCAGTTGTTGTTGAAGGTGTTAGAAGGAACCTTCAGAGGGAATCGGCTCACTTCTGAGTTTGGTCTGTGAAACGAAGACAAACGCTCCCGCCGTGCACTCAAGCAACACCTTTCATGTTCCACAGAGAAGCAGAAAGTAGCTGTCTTTGGAGAGTTAACTGTTCATTCCGCCTTAAATAAAAGTGTATTTGTACTCACATCCATCCGAGGCTCCTACATCCCTGCCTCCTATTTCAGATGAGGACTTTATCTACATCGTCTAACAGCGAGGTTGCTTAAATTAAACGTTTTCTCTGCAGCGACAGACGACATTTATCACACTGCACTGCTTCCTCCCAGCTGTGACGCTTTATTTGGCGAGACGGCGAGGGATGGTTCAGATCTAAATCAGCCCAAAGTCTGCAACAGGTGCTGTGAGAGACGGACATGCCCTCTCCCGGCCCGCTGTCACTCTCTAAATTACAGCTTCCTGTTTGGTCTCGAGCTGGTTGCCTAGAAACCAGGCACTTATCCAAACAGATGTGTCTCCATCAGCACACGTGGACTGTTATCTGTCTGTTAATGATAGTTACGTGGCAGGGAGCGTGTTTGGGTTTGAAAGGAAAAAGAGAATGTGGTTCCTGTAGCTGATAACAGAGCTAGTTTTCAAAGGGCACTAGTCAGCCTGAAACAGCTCTGCACAGCGTGGTTTGGCTCAGCTCAGCTCAGCTCAGTGTAGATGTGTTTCCCAGCCAGCTCAGGCTGAACCAGGAAACGGCGGCAGACAGTGAAGCAGCAGGCAAAAAACTCTGGCGCAATCAGTGACTCCGCCTCCTAGCCAATCAGCCACCAGAGTCGCGATGCTGGCCCGGCTCGGCCTATGCAGGTAGTAGAGAGAAAATACCGAACTGTGCTCTTGGGCCGAGCTACTCTGAGTAGACCCCTTTTGAAAAAGACCTTACGGCTAAACCGTTTCCCTCCTTAAAACAGTCCCAAAGCTACGTGAGACAAACTAGTTTACCTGTTGTTGTCGAACGCTAAAGTCTTAAGCTGAAACGTTCCTGACGAGTGAAAACGTCTGACTCACTTTGCTGCTGGATGTCAGCTCATCAACTATCAGAGTAAACAAAACACGCTGAAGCTAACGGCTCTGGGCATCTCTCCGCCTTCATTTTAGTTGTACAAGTGTGACGTGCAACTAATGGTAGGTCTGCATAACAGACACAGACACACACGCACACACACGCACACACACCACACACGCACACACACACACACACACACACGCATGCGCGCACACACTAACACACATGCACGCACACACGCATGCGCGTGCACACACGCACACACACAAGCACGCACACACGCACATGCACTAACACACACACATGCGTGCGCACACACACACGCACACACACAAGCATGCATGCACACACACACACACACACACACGCATGCACGCGCATACACACACACACACACATACACGCACACATGCATGCGTGCACGCGCACACACACACACACACACACATACATGCACACACGCATGTGTGCGCACACATCTGGAACAATGTGATGTTCAACTGAGATGTCTTCCTTACGACCTCCAAGGTGGTGATTGATATGTGGTTAGATCACACAACACACACACACACACACACACACACACACACACACACACACACACACACACACACAGCTCATAGGTGTGTATGAGAGGTGGATGTGTGCAGTCAGCTGACCTTGAGCCAGAGCCGTGTCACGTTCGATCAGCTGCCTGTGTGTCTCTACCACCATACACACCCGGTAGCCACAGACAGGAGGCCACCGTCAAGTCTTTCAGTGATATCTACTGAAGCAGAAAAAGAAGACAACACGGCCACGGAGGAGACTTATTAGAAACCCAAGTGTGTCAATATCCTCAGGCATGATGTATTTTATATTCTATCATCGCTGCTGCAGCTTGATGCAGAAGTTCTTCTATTGAACACCACATGCTTCCATCTGTCACTGATTTTCCACCATTTTATCCACTCTCCATAGAAAACCCCAGGGAGTCGTGCTTCGAACCTGGCCTGGTGCGCAACGGGACGCGGCTGGGCACCGATCTCAAGCTGGGCTCCACCGTCGCCTACCGCTGCGATAGTGGCTACACGCTGGAGGGAGACCCAACGCTCACTTGCATCATGGGGGGAGATGGCAAGCCAAGCTGGAACAAGCCCAAACCCATCTGCATCGGTAAACACTGACATCTGGAGTTGATAGTCAGGAGCACAAACCAGATCCATCAGGTGTAAACATCCATATATGATTATGCTGCAGCTCCACACACAGCAATCCTGCAGGTATACGTATTTGTGGAGCTGTGTGGGTTTTTTCTGACATCCGTGAATGTGGCTCTCCTTTAATCTGCGGTTTGGAAGCAGCAGCTCATTTTGCATATCTGACGCTCACACTCACAGCGTCACCCTGACTCAGTTCTCTGATACACCACCATGACACTACCACCCCATGCTGCACATGGAAAAACAGGAAAGGGTTCCTGACAGCTCAGAGCCTCGCACTGACTCGTGTGTCAGGTGGAAGACATGTTTATTGTTCATGAAAGTAAAGCTGCATTCACATGCATGGAGTTAGCAGCACCACAGAGCCAGCCTTAAACCAGGAGGGGAGGCTGCAGCCTCATCACAGCCAGACTAACCCAGATGGACACTTGGAAAGCATTGCAATTTCAACGTGGCAACCACCTGGGATGCCTCCCATCCAAAGCCCAATCAGACAGGAAAAGTAATTTAGCAGTGATGGAACAGAGGGGATGGAGGAGGAATAGAATCTCCCGCTGTTGACTTTAGACATTCCTTTTGTGTCGCTCTTGTCCTGCTTCTGGTCTCTGCTCATGTCTTGTCTCTGTGTGTCTCTGCAGCTCCATGTGGTGGGCAGTACTCTGGTTCAGAGGGAGTGGTTTTGTCTCCCGGTTACCCCGGCAACTACAGTAGCTCTCGGACCTGTTTATACTCTGTAGCTGTGCCCAAGGATTACGGTAAGCCAAGGACGAGTCGAGTTGTGATTGTGAGTGTTTTATGAACTGTTTTAAATGAATAATTTTATCATTTATAAAGAAGCTCCCATCAAGATAAGCTTCTCCAAACTCCACCGTCTTTTCCTTCCAGTGGAATTTTTTCTCAGACTCCAGAATATCCTCGGTGACAGAAAACAAGATGGTGTTAAACTGAGAAAAGCTGCCACCATCATCGTCTTCTCCACCTCCAGTCACCTCAAGTGTTATTCCTCAGAGGCTCCCGCCATCCATGTTCCAGTTTCACAGCGACTGACAGCCATGTTTCCTCCTCATGTGTGTGCTTTAGTCACACACACATGCACACTCTTGTTCACATGCATGGACATGCACATGTATACGTACATGCACACACATACACAAATGCACACGCACAAACATGCACACACACACACACACACACACACACACACACACACACATACACACACACACACACTTGTACACGCACACACATGCACACACATACACACATATACACAAATACACATACCCATGCACACACACACATACACACATACACACACACATGCACACTCTTGTTCACATGCATGGACATGCACATGTATACATACATGCACACACATACACATATGCATGTGCACAAACATGTACACACACACACACACACACACACACACATGCACACACTTGTACATGCACGCATATGCACACATATACACACATACACATACCCATGCACACACACATATACACACATGCACATACCCATGCACACACATATACACACATACACATACCCATGCACACACACATATACACACATATACACACATGCACATACCCATGCACACACATATACACACATACACATACCCATGCACACACACATATACACACATGCACATACCCATGCACACACACATATACACACATACACACTCTAGTCTAGCATTCGTTGTGAGGACCGTTACTGCCTTCCATTTGTTTTAGTGACTGGATTGTGCCTAACCCTAACCTTGACTAAAATTTAATTCACACCAAACCTCGAAAACTAAACAGTAGAGCTCTGTAACGTTGTATCAAAGTGAGGTCCAGCAAAATGTCCTCACTTTGATACTAATGTCCTCAGTTTCTAGGTAAAAAAAAACTTGTTTGGGCCCTCACTTTGATGTATAGACTGGCACGCACACACACACACACACACACACACACACACACACACACACACACACACACACACACACAGATCATTTAGGTGTGGCACGACACTCGTCCGTCTCACATCATCTGTCTGCAGCAGGCTAGTGGCTCTTTTTGCCTCCTGCTGTATTTTCTGACCTCTGACTCTTTAATGAGTCATCAGCATCAAGCCTTCCTGTCAGCGGCGGAGACAGGAGAAAGCAGCAGCTCCAAGTGTTTAGCTGCAGGACATGTCACCCGCCTTTAGAGCATTAATGTCCTCCTGCCTTGCCATCAGAGGCCTATTCCACCTTTTATACTCCGCTATCAGCACACTTCAGTCAGAAGTCATTTGAAGAAAATGTGAAATAATTAAAATCCACATTTGCATTTTCCTGCATAATGACAGTGGAGCCAGAGGCAGCTGACGTTGTCGGGCTTTTGTCTCCATTCTTTTATTCTTGTGGCTTCTCATCGGGTTGGTGCAGCAGCTAATGAGGGCTGTTTGACTGGCCGTGGGGGCGGGGGTCACTGGGACCACTAGTTTCTCTCATCACAACCATCTACATGCAGAGACAGTCTCTGATTAGGGAACGTCTGAGGTTGCTTCATCACCTACTACAACACAGCTGCCCAGCTTCCCTGGGTTTTATGTTCCTCACCTTTAACCCCGTTGTTTAGGTTGGAGACGTAGGTTCAGTGTGAGAGGGACGACCCAGGATAAAGGCTGGGTTGGAGGCAGCGCAGTATGGTTGTACCAGACTGGCCGTCACAGCTACAAGGATTCTTTTACGCTTTAGTTGTGTTGTCAGAACATCATCCACCCAGCTTTAAGGAGGACATGGTGATTGGATTGATCCTGATCATTTTCTTGTGGTTGTGGATCCCAGAGAGCGCCTTTTAGGAACGTTCGGAGTCATTTTAAATGAAGTGATGCCTTTGTGGCTTTTGCCATGTGCAGTTCCTGCCTGATGTCTGATATTTTTTCTAGTGGTCTTCAGTCAGTTCGCCTTCTTCCAAACAGCCCTGAATGACATTGTGGAGGTTTACGATGGAGCAACCCAACATTCTCGTGTTCTTAGCTCTCTGTCTGGAGCTCACACAGGTACGTCAGCACACATCCGCGTGAAGACCTCACAATGGTTTCATGTCTGCAGGAAGAATGTTTCTGAAAAGTTTGATTTCTTCAGATTTTAGTCTTTTGTCACATTTAAATGTTTCAGATCAGCAAACACATGTAATATACAACAGTAACCTGGGTAATAACAGTCAGACATGCGATGGTCTGGAGCCGCTCCATGACCTTTGACCTTAAACAGCCCCTTCTGCTGAAAAACCCTCCAATATGGCTGAATTCAACATGCCTAAATGCATTGAGCTGCCGCCATGTGATTGGCTGATTAGTAATTTGCGTTAACGAGCAGTTAGAGAGGTGTACCCAATAAAGTGGCCTGTGACTGTATATGTTTGTTGTGATGAGCTCAGGGTTTCTCATAGCCTTTCACCCACTGCTCAGATGGAATATGGTGGTGTGTTGTTTTGTATGTTGGTGATGACGATAGCCTGTGAGACTGTTTAGGTGCATCCTGGCTGATCCGATCTCTAGAGAACGTTTCTGTAATGATGCACTCCTGCTGAGTCTCAGAGGCCATTGCAGACACCCCCTCACCTGTCTTCTCTCCACACATGTAGTTGGATTGTTTCTCAGAATTAGTTCTCATTTGTGAGAATTTCTGATGGGAAACAACATAGTTGTTTGAGTTAATTTCTGAAGTGACAAGAACCAAAACAAGCGAGGGAATAGCACTGACGTGTTTACGAGGATTACCGCTGTGGAAAGGACAGACAGTAAAGGGGCTTTAATGTTTTATAGAAGCTATTCTGTTCTGAAACTGCTTCAGAATGGAAACATTAAAGCTGCCTCTTGAACATTTAATCCATTAAAACGTGTGAATACTATAATATTCTTCAGTATTGTAATGATGACATCCCCTACAGTAAACCCACGTCTCAGCCTCTGGTTCTCAGATATTCCTGTCCCTAACACAGACAGTTACAACCACAAACACCGCTACACTGTAAGAATGAAATGTTGAATTTACTAAACTAAATAATATCAACTGGTTCAACTAAACCTGGTTTATTTGTCCCGAACACTAGAAATCATTACTTCTAACATAACAACTGCCCAAAAATAAGATGTCCTAGGCCTGAGTGAATGAAAAGTTCATAGTTAAATGTGCTGACAACAAAATCACAGAAGTAATCAAAGGAAATCAAATTTATCAATTGAATTCCGTTCAATTCAAGTTTATTTATATCGCACCAAAACACACAAGAGTCATCTCAAGGCTCTTCACACAGTAAACATTCCAATACAGGTCAGGTCATTAAGCCAATCAGTAAAAAGTTTCCTTTATAAGGAACCCAGCAGGTTGCATCGAGTCACTGACTAGTGTCAGAGTCTTTACAGCAATCCTCATACTAAGCAAGCATGCAGTGACAGTGGAGAGGAAAACTCCCTTTTAACAGGAAGAAACCTCCAGAGGATCCTGGCTCAGTATAAGCAGCCATCCACCACGACTCACTGGGGATGGAGAAGACAGAGCACACACACACACACACACACACACACACACACACACACACACACACACACACACACACACACACACTGTGATTTCTTAGTTAATATTGTATTTAGTGAGAGATAAACTGTATATCCTAGTGAACCTATAATTAATTCAACCGGTGAACTAGTAGTAGCACATTCTATGTCCAAAAATGTCAAGTGTTATATATATATATATATATATATATATATATATATATATATATATATATATATATATATATATATATATATATATATAGTCAGACGAGGGAGAATGTTAAATGGTGAGCAACAGTGTGCAAGTCTCTCCGTACTAACACTAAAGGCTTAAATTTTGGATCCTGGTGTTCCGTAAACACAGCTTGCAATACTTTTTCACATTCTTTCCAGACAAATTTCCGCTGTTAAACACTCCATCACTTCATCACAATAAGCCAATCGCATGATCAATTGGGTCACAGTGACAGGACGCTCACACTGTCAGAGACGAATGACATTCTGTCTCAATCTGTCCCCCGCTGATATTCTGCATTCCACATTCTGCACTTCAGACTGTGTGTGTGTGTGTGTGCGTGCGTGTGCGTGTGTGTGTGTGTGTGTGTGTGTGTGTGTGTGTGTGTGTGTGTGTGTGTGTGTGTGCACGTGCATGCGTGCGTGTGTGTGTGTGTGTGTAGAGTGTTACTTGTTCTGTGTGATCACAAAGCAGTACAAGTGATAATGCTGCTGGGATTCATAATTGTATCCTTCTCAGCAGCAGCACTGCAGGTGCTCTCCATGTCCAAAATGTGCATAAACCAGGTTCCTAGTCAACTTAAAGTTGCGCACATTTTTCCACTACATTTTCTTTTATAAATCCTAAAGTTTGTGTGGAAAGTTGATTACTCAGTTTTCCCACCCCTGTTTCATGCGTAAGCAAGCTGGATAAATGAGACCCCTGGACTGTATGGATTTATACGTATTTTTTTATATTTGGACATTAAGGGGTTGCACATTGGACCTTAAGTCACTCAAAAACATAAAATCTGAGTTGGAAAAAAGTTAGTTTTTCCTGTGAAACCTACAAACATGTATGATAAATGTTTATAATTTAGAATGGCAACCTAGACTATAATTTTATAAAATATATGAATAAATATGGCAAATAACACATTTTTTAAAAGTTACTAGCAGTAAAATGAAAGAAATTATTCATTCGTCTTTGTTTTCACAGGTCAAAAAGATGCCCAAAAATATATAAGTGTGCCAAAATAAGTTACAATTATATTAATTCCTTATCAAATTTTGAACAAATATTTACTATTTACATAAGAATTGGATTTTTTTTCTAAGACAACTCAAAGTTTATTTGTGCCACCCCAAGGTGGTTTCTTTCCACTATGCAGAGGAGCATCAGGCCTGGCTTCTCCAAGTAAGAAAAACAATAGAAAATGTTATTTGGTCTAAGTTGTTCTCCGTAGCTACAACCTGCTCGCTCCTTTTAGTCCCTCTCCTGTCAGCGTCACAGAGGGGGCGGGGCTTTTCCTCCCTGATGGAGACGGAGAAAGAACACTGGTGCGGTAAGAGAGCAGCTTCTTCTGTGCCTGCCAGGACCTCATCTCCCTTGTTATGACCCAGCTTCTCTTTCTCAGTGTCTAAGAGGAAGAATTGATTGACATCATTATCGAAACCCTCAATGTGGCGTCAGACTCCGGCTGTCTTCCAGCTCAAATACAGCAGAGCTGCTGCAGCACTCATCGTTCTCATCCTCATTTATACATAGAAACTCGCTCAGCTACAAATAAATAATACTCTCTTTGTCACAGATTACTCCAATATCTAAAGTCAAGCATAAACCAACCTTAAGCTTTCGTGCTGTGGACACTGCTGGCAGACCCAGCAAACCTTCTTCTGAGCCACTTGTGTGGGTTGGAGACTCCGTCTCATGCTACCACTAGAGTGAAAGCACCAGCTGCATTCAGAAGTGACCATAACACACGTGTGCCACTTCTTTATTGGGGATGTCTTCCTAACTGTCTGTAATTTAGACACCTGTTGTCCATGCTACTTGTACAACATCATGTGAAACTGATCATCAATCAATTTGATCTGACTTAGAGTTGCATTGTGTTGTTAAAGGGTTTCCTTTATGTGCCGAGCCATGTTTAACAATGCATGATACTCTTTACACTTGAAGCAGAAGCAAGAGGTTGTTTAATTTCTGACTGAAGACACCCCATTGACCCAACAACTGATATCAGAGATTCATTCCTGATTAGCAAAGGTCAGCCTCGTACAGAAGGTCATCATGTATTGCAGTCTGAGCAGTTCTCGCACTCATATCTACACTTTGTGGTATTTTGTGCAGCTGTAGTTGTTATGAGTTAAAACGAAACTGGAAAATCTGATTTGACTGGAGCTGGTTGCTGTGGCACCAGTTACAGGCTGATTTTACCACCGGGCTCTGTGACAAACGGCCCTAAAACAAATGTTTTCATGGTTATTTATAAGAACTGATTACAAAGGTTAAAGGTTGCTTCTGCCACTAAATAAATAATTAAGGCCACAGCTGTCACACAAGCGCTCCCAGCCCTTTAGCTCTGTGACTCTGAGAAAAGAAAAATAAAGACTCTGATGTGATTCCAGCCCAGCCTCAGAAAATGATGTTTACAGCTCAATAAACAGGATGTTATATTTACTGAGTACTTAGGATGGCAGGTTCACAGAAACAGCAAACCTGGCCTGGCAGAGAAGAGCAATCCTGTTTGGCGGGGACAGAGAGCGATGCAGCTTCATGCAGCCTGTAGTCTGTCTGTAGGAACTGGGATTTCTACATGTTTACATGGTGGTTTTGAACCTCAGTACCAGGGAAGAGCCTTTGTTCTCCGTGTCGTTCAGATGAGTTGTTCATTTGTTTAGTTGTGAACGAAAGAATTTTATTTTCCAAAGTGTAAATAACAAAAAAACACATGAGTCTGTAGCCTTGGAAAGCACATCACATAAAAGCCCTGCTGTGGCTTTATCACACTGATGTTTAGGGAGGTAAGCGTCTGTGTTTGAGAAGAAAAGGCAATGATGGTGGATTATTAGTGGCAAACAGAATAAAAGAAGAGGAGACCCGGGTCGACTACAGAGGAGGGGGGAATTAGAGAAGGCAACAGCATGCAGGAAGGAGCGGGTGAAGGGACGGAATAAAGAAATCAAGGAAACTTATCTAAATGCAAATTTTCAAACTCATTTGGAAAAAAGGCTATTTTCATTCTCATGGTCATCTAATGGGTAGAATAAGGACTCCATTAAAGGCTGACCTGCTATACTTCAGATTCCTGTTTTAACTCCTACCCTCTGTCCCTGTAATGTGTCTCTGTCCCTGTGAGATGTCTCTGTCCCTGTGAGGTGTCCCTGTCCCTGTGAGGTGTCTCTGTCCCATTGAGATGTCTCTGTCCCTGTGAGATGTCTCTGTCCCTGTGAGATGTCTCTGTCCCTGTGAGGTGTCCCTGTCCCTGTGAGGTGTCTCTGTCCCTGTGAGATGTCTCTGTCCCTGTGAGATGTCTCTGTCCCTGTGAGGTGTCCCTGTCCCTGTGAGGTGTCTCTGTCAATGTGAGATGTCTCTGTCCCTGTGAGTTGTCTCTGTCCCTGTGAGATGTCTCTGTCCCTGTGAGACGTCTCTGTCCCTGTGAGGTGTCCCTGTCCCTGTGAGGTGTCTCTGTCAATGTGAGATGTCTCTGTCCCTGTGAGATGTCTCTGTCCCTGTGAGATGTCTCTGTCCCTGTGAGGTGTCCCTGTCCCTGTGAGGTGTCTCTGTCAATGTGAGATGTCTCTGTCCCTGTGAGATGTCTCTGTCCCTGTGAGATGTCTCTGTCCCTGTGAGTTGTCTCTGTCCCTGTGAGATGTCTCTGTCCCTGTGAGATGTCTCTGTCCCTGTGAGTCGTCTCTGTCCCTGTGAGATGTCTCTGTCCCTGTGACATGTCTCTGTCCCTGTGAGGTGTCTCTGTCCCTGTGAGGCGTCTCTGTCCTTGTGAGTCGTCTGTCTCTGTGAGATGTCTCTGTCCCTGTGAGATGTCTCTGTCCCTGTGAGATGTCTCTGTCCCTGTGAGGTGTCCCTGTCCCTGTGAGGTGTCTCTGTCAATGTGAGGTGTCTCTGTCTCTGTGAGTCGTCTCATTCCTTGTGAGTCATCTCTGTCCCTGTGAGTCGTCTCTGTCCCTGTGAGATGTCTCTGTCCCTGTGACATGTCTCTGTCCCTGTGAGGTGTCTCGGTCCCTGTGAGGTGTCTCTGTCCCTGTGAGGTGTCTCTGTCCCTGTGAGTCATCTCTGCCCCTCTGAGGTGTCTCTGTCCCTGTGAGTTGTCTCTGTCCCTGTGGACAGTCGTCTCTGTCTCTGTGAGGTGTCTCTGTCCCTGTGAGGTGTCTCTGTCCCTGTGAGATGTCTCTGTCCCTGTGAGATGTCTCTGTCCCTGTGAGTCGTCTCTGTCCCTGTGAGGTGTCTCGGTCCCTGTGAGGTGTCTCTGTCCCTGTGAGTCATCTCTGTCCCTGTGAGGTGTCTCTGTCCCTGTGAGTCGTCTGTCTCTGTGAGGTGTCTCGGTCCCTGTGAGTCGTCTGTCTCTGTGAGGTGTCTCGGTCCCTGTGAGTCATCTCTGCCCCTCTGAGGTGTCTCTGGCCCTGTGACGTATCTCTGTCCCCGTGGACAGTCGTCTCTGTCTCTGTGAGGTGTCTCTGGCCCTGTGACGTATCTCTGCCCCCGTGGACAGTCGTCTCTGTCTCTGTGAGGTGTCTCTGTTCCTGTGAGTCGTCTCGGTCCCTGTGAGATGTCTCTGTCCCTGTGATGTGTCTCTGTTACTGTGAGTCGTCTCTGTCCCTGTGAGGTGTCTCGGTCCCTGTGAGGTGTCTCTGTCCCTGTGAGTCATCTCTGTCCCTGTGAGGTGTCTCTGTCCCTGTGAGTCGTCTGTCTCTGTGAGGTGTCTCGGTCCCTGTGAGTCATCTCTGCCCCTCTGAGGTGTCTCTGACCATGTGACGTATCTCTGTCCCCGTGGACAGTCGTCTCGGTCCCTGTGAGATGTCTCTGTCCCTTTGAGGTGTCTCTGTCCCTGTGAGGTGTCTCTGTCCCTGTGATGTGTCTCTGTTACTGTGAGTCGTCTCGGTCCCTGTGAGGTGGCTCTTTCCTTGCGAGTTGTCTCTGTCCCTGTGATTCGTCCCCACGCCGCTGCAGAAGATCATTTTAAGGACAAACTGGTTTGGAGCTGGAGAGTGGCCATGGGGTTGATAAGTTCCATGCTGACACCTGATTGGCCTAACTAGATGAAAACCTGGCTGCCACGCACAACAAACGATGAAACAGTGTCCTGGTGACAGCGTGTAGAGGAGGACTTCCTCTAATAAAGTACCCAGCATGCCTCAGTGGTCCTATAGGGACACTGGACCAATCACCGTGATGATGCATTACAATCCATTTGAGCTGTCTCATAGTAGCGCATTTAACGGGCCCAGAACTTATGCACAAACACACACACACGCACGCGCGCGCGCCCACACACATACACACACACACACACACACACACACACACACACACACACACACACACACACACACACACACACACACACACACACACACAGATGTTGCCTCTGGGGTTAAGAACGTCTGTCTCCCACTAGAGTGTGACAGCAAGCAGACACAGAGTAATGAGACTCACTGCAGAGAGCCAGTCAGCATCTCACTAGGAGTGAGACGGAGATGCTCACACTTTGGATCATGTTCTACGTCAGTCACACATTTTCCACCACGGCAGATGCATCATGGGAGACCTGTTGTGTGTAATTACACTAGTAACTGATGAGGATTGCAGAAATCTTGTCAACAATCCCAGTGTTAACTAGGGCTTGAACTACACGCAGGCTTTCTGGGAGAGCCCTGTTGTGTGTGTGTGTGTGTGTGTGTGTGTGTGTGTGTGTGTGTGTGTGTGTGTGTGTGTGTGTGTGTGTGTGTGTGTGTGTGTGTGTCGTCCGTCCTCAGTGAGAAATCAAATCTCTGATAGAGTGTGTGAGGTGTGTGGGCAAAATCACAAAGTGCTTCACATAGATCAAAACAAAATTAAACATAATGATCTTATAACAGAAATAGGTTAACAGCAGAAAAATAGCATCATAAAATTATAAAATTTCATAAACAGATTAAAGATTACATTTTTGAGTTAAAAATAAGAAAACAAAGGATTTATGTAAAAGCAGCTTTAAACAAAAGCGCCTTCAGCCGTTTTTTAAAAGTGTCCAGACTGTCAACGCTACGTAAGGATAAAGCAAGTCCATTCCACAGTCGGGGTGCAACACTCTGGCAGGACTGATAGCTTCAACTTTTATATCTGGTCTTCGGAATTTCTAGAAGGTTCTGGTGGGTGGACCTGAGGGCTCGGGTTGGAGCATACGGCTTTAACAGTTCAGTAATATAGGGAGGAGTTTGACCTTGAAGAGCCCTGTGGAAATTCATTTCCACATTTGACACACCTAGTTCATTCAGTCTTTTCAGAGTTTAACTGAAGGAAGTTATCTTCTAGCCAGCTGGTGATAGCTGATAGACACTCTAATAATTCAGACAGTTTATAGAACTCAGAATCCTTAAAGGAGCAGTACATCTGAATGTCATCTGCATATAGGTGATAAGAGACATTATGAAAAGAATCAGTTATCTGTCCAAGAGAATGTATGTACAGTAGAAACAAGAATGGACCCAAAACAGAGCCTTGGGGTACCCCACAGAATAGATCAGTAGAATCTGACATGATTCGGTTTATACAGACACTGTAACTTCTGTTAGACAGGTACAATTTAAACCAGTCTAGTACAGTGCCAGAGATCCCCACCGAGTCACCAAGTCTGTTAATTAAGGTGCTGTGATCAACAGAGTCAAAAGCTGCAGAAACATCTAACAATACTAACACTGTGAATTTCCCATTGTCTGCAGCCATCATGATGTCACTGGAAACTTTAAGCAAAGCTGTTTCTGTTGAATGCTTTTTATGAAAACCAGACTGGAATTTTGACAAAACTGTTCTGTAATTTCAGAAAAATAATCTGTTGATCTGCCACAACCTTTTCCAATATTTTTGAGATGAGGGGTAATTGAGAAATGGGTCTGAAATTTTTAGGCTGAGATGAGTCCAGACTTGTTTTTTTAAGGACAGGTTCAATAACTGCATGTTTGAAAACAGATGGTACAGAGCCAGACTGTAGAGATAAATTAATAAAATCTACAATGCACGGGCCCGTTTGGTCAAATAACCTGATGAACAAGGTAGTAGGAACAGTCAAGGAATATGAGGTTGGTTTCATGTGTTTCTGAATGAGGCAAATTTCCTGGAAATCTACATGAGTAAAGACAGACCCTGATTGGGAGGAAGATGATTGGAGGGGGGGGGGGGGTGTAGGAAGTAGATGGGGGTGAAAAGCTTTCCTGATATTTCTGATTTTATTCTTAAAAAATGCTAGAAAGTTGTTACAGTCAGACCTTGAGTAAACTGTCATAAGAGGGGCGTGAGGTGAAACAATCTGGTTTATGGTGTCAAACAGGACTTTAGAGTAATTTTTGTTTACAGCAATCAGCTGAGCAAAGTATGTGGCCCTGGATTCTTTTACCATCTCATTCAGAGATGTTATCAGTTCTTTAAAGTTCAGCCTGTGACTTTCTAATCTAGTTGACTTCCAACGTCTCTCTGCTCTGCGACATGTCCTTCTGAGACGGTAAATCTTTTGACTAATCCAAGGACGTTACCGCTTGTTAGATAAAATGATCTGCTTAACATGAGCCACTTTTTCTACGATACTGCAGTATTGCTTTTTCAAAAATTGGATAAACAAACTTGGATCATCACCCTGAACTGAGCTGCTGTCAAATAATCTAAAAAAATCCATCCACTGCTGACTGATTAATGATACGTCTCTTTGATCTCAGTTTGTGAGGGACCGATTCAACATTGGACATTAAAGAAAATGCAGCTGTGGCCACTCACATGGACCTCTTCAACATGTACATTATTGATTTTTAGTTCCAAAGAGAAAACAAGATCTAGAGTGCGGCCTGAAATGTGCTTCTGAGCAGCAGGTAAAAATAAGAATTGACCTTGTTTCTCTGAAATAAAACCACAGAGGGTGCTATCCATGCTGCAAGCTCTGCCACACTCTTCCAGATAAAATACAAATAATCCAATAATGAATCCAAAAAATGTATCTGTGTATTTAGATGTTAATCTGTTGACCTCCCAAAAACCTGATCAGAGTATTCATGTTTTTTATTCAATTCACTCCAGTTTATTTATATAGCACCAAATCACAACAAGAGTCGTCTCAAGGACCTTCACACAGTAAACATTCCAACACAGGTCAGTTCATTAAGCCAGTCATGCAAAAA